TTATTAAGCCTCCTGAATTACTTAATTAGAAGTGAGCCCCCAAGTGAGAAATAGCGCGCGCGCGCCTACACACACACACACACACACACACACACACACACACACACACACACAGACATGCACTTCAAAGATACATGGAAAAGAGGGAGGCTAAAGACCGCGGGATCCTATAAGATGGGTAGGCAGAGTCTTAGGATGGCTGGACGGCTAAATTGAGATACCTCACGCCCCCACACCAGAACTGTTGGGACAATGGCAAAAGAACTTGAGGATTCTGGGGGAGACATTTAAAATGCCCTGAGTTAAAAAAAGGGGGGGGAATTGTTTTGCCTGTGCTGTTTCCCTCCTGTGTGTCTCCCTTCACTCCAGTGGCTGTCGGGAAGAGGGACTCGGTTTTTAAAGGAAGACTAGAGAAAGGAGAACAGGACTAGCCTTGTTTCTGTGAAGCAGGTGCTGTTGCTGAGCCTGTGTGAATCGGGGTTGGGGGTGGGGGCCTTGAGGGAGGGAGAAGGGAAGGGAAAAGAGGAAAGAATGAGGGATAAAAATATTAACTTTGAGTTGAAGGGTGTGAATAACATATTTTTGATATTCTAATAAACGTGTGAAACTGAAATACGTTCTACTAACTGGTGAACTACACTAAATTTTGGCAAGAGCAGGGAAGAGTCATTGTTGAAGAAACATCCACTTCAACAGACCAGCTGGAAGTTGAAACTGGCAAGGGGATGTAGGGGGATTCCCATTAAGTCATGTGATGTGGGGCCATACAGAGGAGGATAGTGAGAAAGAGAGAGAAGGGTCTGGATTTAGTTTCCTTGTATTAAGAGCAAGAGTAGAGGTCATTTTGTAAAGAATTAGAAAAGAGCAGAGACCAGAGGTTTAATGTGTGCCAAAGCGGTATATCTGGGTTAGATAAAAAGTGTCCATTAGCTAGAAGTCCGAATGGGTGAGGAAAGCTGAGAAATAGCATCTTGCCTGCAAACGCTCATTCCCACCATTCCTGATTCCCACTTGCTTCCTCCTCTACATCCCAGTCAAGTTATTCCTTCTTCATGCTGCAGGTGTCTAAGCTATACAACACGCCGGAGACCCCCGATCTTCAACTAGGATAAAATATCTTACTAAAATGCTGAGAATCTAACTGCTTCTGCAATGCAGAGCTGGTTGTCCCTGAGATTCCTAGAGACAGGGGCCCACAGAACCTGTCCCAAGTAGGAACACAATGGAGGTCAGGGTTCTTGTGAAATGTTTTGCGGAAGAGAGAAAATAGTAAAATATCTGTAACTCACGTCAATGGAAAGAACGAAGTGCTAGAAACTCTGGGGGCAGGGGTTTTGGCGCTGATCACTGATTATGTGAAAACAAAGGAACTTGACTATGTTTTCTTCTGTGGTGTCTTAAACCACCCAATGATATTTCAATGATGAAAACACACATTAAAAACTCAACATGAGTTCATCTGAAGAATATGTATACATTGATGTAATCACTGTTCACATCATTTCCAACATTACAAGAAGCAAATGATTGTTTCTTCTTAGTCAAAATCTTATACCCACCCAAAGAGAAGTGGTAGCCTATTGCTCATTCCCAAAAAATGGTACTTGCTCTTAGATTCTGAAAATATAAAGTATTAGTGAGTATAGTGGTTTGTGCCTTATTTTTTTTCACTCATTATTGTCTTTGATACAGGAAGCTGATGACTATCTGAGCTGGTTCCATATTTTAATCTATTATTCATCAGAATGTTCCCATGTGTCTCTGCTGGTACACACACATTATCATTTCTTCTGTCAAGGAATGTAAATCACTAAATTTACTTTTTACACCTACAATGGAGACACTTATGTGGCAATGATTCAAAAGTCTACTTTCTGTCTGAAACAGTTACACACATAGTGTCTATGGTGAAAGTTATCACTATTAAATGATAACTAAGTGTCTGAATGTGTGAGGCCCTTCACAAATCTAATCTCATTTCTTTTTCATGAGCACCATACAAATTATGCATTATTATTATTATTGTTATTATTTTTATTGGTGTTATTGTTGTTTAAATGCTACAAAGTAAAGCATTGACTGCAAGACACTGAATTCAGTGTCTGCACTGAATATGGCTATGCATTTGTGTGCATGTTTGTGTGTGTGGATACATGTTCAGTGAACAGAGCTAAGAGAACAGGAAGTGTTGGAATTTCTTACTTCAACACGAGGCTGGAGGTTTATCTGAGGAGTTCAGAGAACCTGAGGAATGGAGAGTACTGTATATTGTGTGAACAGAAGGGCACAGGAGGAGTGAAAATGGGAAATAGGCTTTATTTTCATTGGTGTGTATATGTGTGAACACATATTTGGGGGAGATGATCAAGGAATGAGATATAGCACAGTGGACAAGAATCTAGGGGGATAAATAGTGTAAGAAATGGAAAATTCTTTGAATTTCCAAAGTACAGAAAATTGCAGAAAAGCTACAAAGGAATGAAGGAAGAAAGAGTTCATGAATTTCTGGTAACTGGGTGCTTGGGTACAGAACTGGCTGATAAGAAAAGCAATCAAAAAGGTATTAAAGAAGTGAAAAGAGGCCACTGACATTTAAATATAGAACAGTGGACCTCAGGAGAAAAGTCAGGCTTACAACTAACAAAACCTGGTATTTCGTAGTTTTAAATAGTATAAACACTTGCATATGTGTTGTCTATGGCTTGGGATGTGAATATAGACACTTGAGCTTATTGTTTTCATAAAAAGTTAAAGACAAACTTGGTTCAAATTCCCTTTCAGAAGAGAATATGAAGAAGGCAGGCCTTGAGACACATCTGTTGTTTTACTATAGCACATTGCCTCTCCATGAAAGTGATGACTGAGACACACCCACATCTAGTCATCCCACTTAAATATAAGGCACTGCACAGAAGCCTGGTTTCTGTGAACTACAATTTCTATCCTCATCTCTAGGTATACGATTGCATCCATGTGTATGGGAACTAAGGCAAAATATGTTGTCCTTTTGTTCCCATAGACTCTATTGATAAACTCTTAAAAAGAAATCGAGATGTCAACATCTATCACTCCCAACTACAACATAGTAAGAGGACTCCATAGTGACTTATGGGAAGCCAGTCCTACAGTGCTTCACTTGTGCTTTCTAACACAATACTTGCTCTTTTCAAATTCAGGAAGACTTGAAACATTCTAATAGGTTTCATACTATTCAAAAGCAGGCGGCTATTCTTTTGGCCCGTGCTCTGATGAATGCTCAGGAAAAGGTGAATGCTTGGTGTTTGCCGAATGATTGCTGCCATGTATGAAATATTGTTTTGCTTTAGCTGTACATGTTGTTTTAATAGATTGACCTCATTAAGCACTTGACTATTCTGTTGATCTTAGTTTCTTCATCTGTTGATGCATTTCTCTATGCTGGGGGAGAGGAAAAGATTTCATAGAGTCGCTTAGGGAGAGCAATGAAGATGGTTGGAAAGCCCATTAGCTGATATATCCTCTTCCACTAGCTCACAATGCCTTTGCACTGATTTTTTGGATATGTCAAGTTTAAGCACAAAACATGCATCAATTTATGAATTATTTTCTTCTTCTTTTTTCCTTTCATTCCTTAGTTGTGACCTTAAAAACATGGCTGGTTCAACTAGATTAAACTATTAGGTTCAATCTTGTAGACTGCGGGGGCACATGTTTTGTCATTTAAAGGGCACACATTTGCATGTATCAGTAAGTTGCACCATGTAGATTGGGACAGCAATCATTTCAAAGGTGGGATTCATGTGAGAAGGTGATGAATTCCGTTTCTAGAGTAGGAACTGAGCTAAGCACAGTCTTCAAGCCTTGGTGTTCGAATCCACACTGAATAGGTGATGTTGGAAGGGCATACTTTTGAAGTAAGTCATTGCTTATCATGTGGAAATTCAGGCAAATATCAGATGCCAGCATTTCCCAAATGTTGCTTATCTTATACAGTGTGTGCTATACAGCATTTGATGGCACCTGCCTGCTTTAGTGGAAGCAGAACTTACATGAACTCTGTCTGGGTGGTGGTGCTGTTGTTTGTAAGAATACTGTGTGTGTGTGTTGGGGGGGGGTTAAACATCTACCCTGTTCTTCTTATTATTATTCTTTTTGTTTTGACAGAGCTTGGATTGATCTCCATCACAACCTGCGATATTCTTTTATTACTTTCCCACTGATTAGTACTGCTGAGAAACTCTAATCTCACATATCCTCTCTGCTCTATTCTATTTACTGGTTTTTAAATTAAATGCTTAATGTTTCTTTGAGCTAAGTCTGCTCTCCCTATCAATCACAGGATCACCATCATTTTTTATTGCTTGTTTTACATAATGTTTGTGACAGAAACGAAATGCATGAGTTGCAAGTGAAAGTTCTATTTTGCTTAACAGTATGAGTTAGATTGACTTCCTTCTCTGTTCATCTTTTTTTCGATTGCTCTTTCTATATCAATATTGCGAATGCTATCTTTAAATATTCTTCAGGGCTCATATTGGGTCAAAATGTATACGTGTGCATTTGTCTCAACACCTCTTAATACAACAGACAAATCCAACTAAGAAGTTTTTTTTTCGAAGAAGAAGAAGAAGAAGAAGGAGAAGGAGAAGGAGGAGAAGAAGAAGAAGAAGAAGAAGAAGAAGAAGAAGAAGAAGAAGAAGAAAAGCCACACTCACAAAACCCCAAAGACTGTATCATTTTTATCTAGAAGAACACCCCTCGCCCCCCTCCACCTGCTTTGAAGAAGAGCCCTTTAAGGTGTGTGCCAGAGTGTGTCTTTTCCCAAGCCATTTGGGTGCTGCTGCCACAGGAGATATTTTTGCATTACAAAGACGCAGTTCTAAAAATGCAGAGCAGGTAGTTAAGAGCCTGGGGGATGGAAAAGGCAGGAGCATCATCAGCCAGCTTGGGGGGGGGATGACCTGATTCCCTAGAATACCCAGTCCTCTTCCTCTTTCCTCCCAACATCCTTCCTTCCCTTTTCTTGCCCCCCACCCCCCTTTTCCCGTCCCCAGATAAGCAGCTCCGGGAAACAAAGAACTGGGCTCTCCAGACCTCAGCGTTGGAACCTAGGGCTCTCGGAGAAGCATCTCATTTCGGGGACCAGGGCTCTCGAGCTCTGTGTCCCCTCCCCAACCTCCCCCGCCTCCCTTGCTTGCTCGCTGCTCCCTCCCTGCTCGCTGCCTCCCCCATCATAGCAGCGCAGGGAGGAAGGCGGCCAGGGCTCAAGATGGCTTTAGCCAGGCTCTGCGCCCTGTTCGCCTGCTGCTGGGGGCCGGCTGTGGTGCTGGCCACAGCTGCCGGCGACGCGGATCCATCCAAGGAGCTGGAGTGCAAGCTCAAGAGCATCACTGTGTCGGCGCTGCCCTTCCTGCGCGAGAACGACCTGAGCATCATGCACAGTCCCTCGGCCTCCGAACCCAAGCTCCTCTTCTCTGTGCGCAATGACTTCCCGGGAGAAATGGTCGTAGTGGACGACCTAGAGAACACGGAGCTACCCTACTTCGTGCTGGGTGAGTCCCTGGAGAGGTCGAAGAGGCCGGAGGAGGCGCTGGACCGGCGCCCCCACCCCCCACTCGGCCCACTCCACACATCCACTTGCTGCCGCCGCCTCCCCTCCCCCACACTACCTCCCTGGATCCGCCCCACTGTTGGACCTCTCTCCACACCCACTTGCAGGCCGGCACTTTGGCTTTAGTGCACCTGATGTCTCCCCAAATCCGATCGATCCCGAGACCCGACCCCCCTTCTCAGCGGCCTTGTCCCAAAGGAACAGGTTGCTGGAGTGTCTCTGAAACCTTCCTCAGCCTTGAGCTGGGAGTTTTCATTCAGGAACACAACAGTACAGCGTCAGTTTCCAGTCCGACTCTCATAGGCCTCTCTCCCTGCTTACATGCCACATGCTTAGCTCTTGGCTTCACACGTTTGGGCACCTATAGTCACCCACCACTATCTCCAGGCCTTAGGAATAGGAATTCTGTGGTCACCTTGCCAGCACATGGGTGCCTCACTGCAAGGGCTGATCATCCCTCATCCAAAAGCTTTTGTCACCAGGGCTTTGATAGCCCTCCTTCCAAACAAGTTTCTTATGTGGCTGGAGTTCATCTTGGGAAGTTGTACTTTCACGCCTAAGTCTTAACAACCTCCTATTTCAGGCGCCTCCACATCTCCATGATGCTTTAAAGTCTCTTGTTTAAGGAAATGGCCCAACTGTGTGGCTCAACCATTGCTATTGCTCTCCCCTGTTCTTGAAACTTCTTAGGGGTAGATATCCTTGCACACAGAGCAGCTTCCCTGGGCAAGAGGCTTTTCTTGCCTTTGTTTGCCACTCTCCGATCCCTTTCTCATAATTTTCTAACAGTCACCAGATCCCTTCAGATGCTGATTGAATCATATGCTGCTTTGACTCTACCCTTTTTGTTTTCATTACCAGACTCTTGCAAAGCCTCATAGGCTCATGTGACTTAGGCAACACTTCCCTGCTCCATCTGAAACTCCATGTCTCTCCCTGCTACCCCACCCAACTGTGCAGTCCATTGCTCCAAAATACAAAGTATGTAGTCTTACAATATGCTTCATGTATTATAACTTTGTTCAGGAAGGGAGATAAGGATAACCATAATTCAGTCTCTAGATGTGGGGGGCAGGTGGGAGGGAGAGAGAGAGAGAGAGAGAGAGAGAGAGAGAGAATGTTCAGGATGCTATTACATTTACTTAACATTCTGCAAACTCAAGTTCACTTTGTGTGAATATGGTTCCCCACTGGCCATGTGTAGGTTGAAGCCATTGGTGAAATTATAAGCTCTCTCCCTACCCTTCTTTCACAAAGATTCATCTTTATACCCAGAGCATTTAGGGAGTAGGTGAGGAAACCCTGGTTCCTCAACTCCAATGGAAAAGTAATTGACAAAATTGCCTGGTCCTATGAAAAGTTCATTTACAGTTCCTGGAGTGCAGCTCAGTTAATCCCATTGAAGCCAGCCTACACACTTGAATGGGTTATTTTATTTTATTTTTTTGCAGGAAAAATACCAATAACATAATAAAGACTGGGGGCTGGCTAGAAACAGAAGCAGCGTGAATATGCTACTTGTTACGGCATTCAATTTGTTGAGTTTAGTGGATGCAAAGTTCGTGTTGAAGTCATGCTGATGTGCAAATACAATCTGTTCGTGATGCTTTGTAAAAGTGAATGTGGAGAATTATGTGTTTCTAAAGGGGTTGTTTGGGGTTCTGTGTGCAGTATTTACTGTGCATAAAGTTGGACATATGTGGATGAAAAGGGGAGGCTGGGCTAGGAGGTGCTCAGAACTCCACTTCTCTTTTTGAAAAATCCCAAACCCGGGGCTGTGTACTGTGATGTTCCTATATGAGTCAGATGTCCAAAACTCAGATGTTCAAGAATGGGCTTTCTGCGCCTTTGTATTCGCTGCCCACTGCAGCACCCTGTTGGGGTTGCTATGGTAACCTACTGCACTAAGGCACAGACACTTTCACTTCAGAACCAGAAAGTGCAGGATTGTTCTCCAACCTCTCAGTCACTCAAATGGGCTCAGAGTCAGTGATTTGCTGGTGCCTGCCCCTTTTGACCTGGGATTCCCAAAGGAGCAACATCTAAGAGAGAAGAATGAGAGGAGTTCGAATTCATGGAGGACAGACTGAAGGACACATACATGTTCTTATGCTATGCTTTGTGGTCCCGAGTGCCACAACTGAAGACGCACAGTGAGGGGCATAATAATCTGTGGTAGGTCTCTTCTCCCACATCTCAGGAAGCAACCTCCACCAGCCAGTAGTTCTGGGAATTCATGAAGTTCCTACTTCTTGGCTCTCTTTGCTACTATAAGGACCCAGAAGCTGACTAAAACATGCCTAGCCCAGATGCTCTCTAGTCAACAGGAACACAGATGCTTGTGTGCTTGGATGTTGAAAATATAGGATTGCTGAGATTTGTCTGTGAGATGAGCAGGCTCTGAGGAGGACGGATTTAGCCACACCTTGGTCAAAATCAGGTCCTGTCACTCATGAAAAAAAAAATGAGAATAAATAACAAAAAACAAATGTTAGCTACCCCCCCACCACCCTGAGGATCAAGTCAGACTTTTCTCATTCCACATTTCCAAGATCCAAAGGATCTTCCAAAAGTGATCTTGCTGCCAGCTTTTCAGGCCCCTTATTCTTTCAAATCAGCTACAGGTTTCATGATTCTTTTAAGATTTTGTGCATGCCTCCTTCCTGGATGGCTCTTTGTCCCCTGCCTACAGCTATCCAGTCATATAAACATCACACTCATGTTACCTTTCTGTGAAGCCGTCCCTAGCACCTCCACAGACCACTGAAGCTGGAACACTTACTTACGTATCTCTTTGCGAAGATTGGAAGTGTGTGTGTGTGTGTGTGTGTGTGTGTGTGTGTGTGTGTGTATGAATGGAATAAAAGGTATATTTGACTTGGCTTTGTCTAGGATAGCTGAAAGTTCATGTGGAAAGGTTAAGATGTTAATGGTGACTATGAATACGTGGATATAGGAATGGCCTGGCTATGAATGGAGATTGACTTGACTAGAGTGGAGCCTCGATATAGGAATGGTGGGAAATGCATGTGGTTCTGGAGAGTAGGGCATGGCTTTTCATAGGTCAGGCAGGGAGGGCTATCTTGACACAGCAAGCAGTGATGTGTGGCTCCAGAGACTATCTCAGTTGTCAGCCTGTCCATTTTATTTGTAAAATCATCTCTTGTGTTAGGGTAGAAGGAATCCTTGTCTCCTGTTCTTTGAGGTGGGAGTTGCAGACTACGGTACAAGGGTAAGATAGCACTTTAACTTGTATCTACTTTAGCTATCCAAAGCTTTGGATTGGAATATTTAAATTCAGGTCCTGTCATCTCTAGCTTGCCTGCTTTCCTGCAAATATGAATTTTATTGTGAATGATTGTCTTCTCTATGGTACTTGTCAGGCAACTCCAAGCCAGATAATCTACACCTCTGCTTTCGGGTATGTTGTGAAGGGTTTCTAAAGTATTGCAAAACAACTGTAATTTCTAACTAAAAATATTTGGGCATATAAGCCATATTATCCTCTTGGGAGAATTCAAAGGTTTACTAAATTAATATCTCAACTAAAAAATTCTTGTCTCATCTTTCATAACAGAAGATATTCCTGCTTTGGGAGCACATTTGATCTTGGGATGGAGCTAATGTGAGGAGGGAGGGTCCAGCTTTGCTGTGCCGTGAATAGATGTATTTATCACTCCCAAGGGCATCGGAAGAGGATGTTCCTCTTCTCCAAACCCAACTCTTGAGCCTTTGCATGTACAGACCTTAGGGATACAGCTAGTTCTTATGCTTTGGTGGTTTGCATTAGCTGCTATGGATTTAACAGAAGAAAGCATACCTCAGGATAAATCAGTTAGCCTGTAGAGGTGTAGTAAGGCCCCACATACAAGATGCTGTCAAAAGTGTCTGGAGCAGTCCAATGTGCTGGTTAAAAGAAACGGCTAGGAAGGCAGGTCTGGTGTTAGCCTCTGACTTGCCAACCTTTCCAACAATAGAGAAGAGTGAATATCATTGGAGATAAGAGATTGCTCGGAGCCCCATTGTTAGTAATGGATTGATCTGTCACTTAAACTTAGGACAGGTAATATGACATTTAGGCTTTTATCTATGCCTTCTGCTGTATGCTTTAATTTTTTTTTTCAAAAATCTATCCTTTTACACAGTTAGATAAAGGATTTCTGGCAATGAACAGGATAGAGAAAACACACTCACCTGCTTTATACAGAGAAACCGTTTGTGTGTAAACGTCTTTCTCACAGCTTTATCCATTCGGTGGATCCTTACACAAGCCTTAATGCTGAAGGCGAACTCCATCAAGAAAGCACCCAAAAAGTTTCATTTACCTATGAAGGATTTGTCAATCCTTATTTACAACCCTTTCCTTTACTACTCGGAGGTATTTTATGGCATCCAGGGCATGAGGAACCTGCTGGGTGAGGATGATGATAATATGTCTAATACTCTGAGAAGTGCCCCCCTGGAAATACAAATTAAGAATATGATGGTGGGGGGACCTTGAGGCCATGCAGAAACTCTGTGTGTGTGGCTCCAGTAGGAAGCTTCTGATCTTTGTTATATGGTCTTGTGCTTAGAATTCACTGTCAGAGTCCAGTGAGCTATTCCATAGTGAGCAACTAGCTTCATATACAACATTGGACAGCATTTTCTCCTTATACATGGGCTTTGGATTGGTGGGAAGTGATTGAAATACTTCAGTGTCCCCGACTTCTTTTCCCAGATCTCTCCATCTTCCATGGAAAGCGGAGCTTTAAAACATATTTCCCGTATTTCTCTCGCTCTTCTGTACAGTGAACTTTAGGTCAACAATGAACAAATTTACAGAGTGGCGACCTCATCTGAGACACGGTGGCATGAATGATGGCAATCTGAAGCTGGAATTTTCAGCACTTAAACAACACACACTTGCAGAACGTGCTAATTTATAGTATTGAGAGGGTT